CCTACAGGCTGGGGAACTCCCTTCTCGTCAGCGCAGAGGCAGAAAAGGATCTTGGAGTCATCATTGATGCCAAGATGAATATGGGTCGGCAGTGTGGGGGATGCAGTCAGGAAGGCCAACCGCACCTTGTCATGCATCCACAGATGCATCTCAAGCAGGTCCAAGGAGGTGATAACTCCCCCTCTATGAGGCACTGGTCAGGTCACAGTTGGAGTACTGCGTCCAGTTCTGGGCACTGCACTTCAAGAGGGATGTGGACAACATGCAGAGGGTCCAGAGGGCGACTTGCATGATCAGGGGGCAGCAGGGCAGGCCCTATGAGGAGAGGCTACGGGATGCGAACCTATTCAGCCTCCACAAGAGAAGGCTGAGGGGGGAAATCTAGTGGCCTGTTACAAACTAGTCAGAGGGGACCAGCAGGCATTGGGGGAGTCCCTGTTCCCCCGAGCACTACCAGGAGTGACTAGAAATAACAGTCACAAGCTGGCAAAGGGTAAAATTCAAATTAGACATCAGGAGGTGCTACTTCACTGGTCAGGGCGGCTAGCATCTGGAACCAACTTCCAGACAAGGCTAGACAAACAACTTGCTGGGGCTGTTTGACCCCAGTACTCTTTCCTGCCATGGCAGGGGGTCGGACTTGATGATCTGCTCAGGTCCCTTCCGACCCTACTAACTATGAAACTAATAGCATAGCCTACTGAAAGAGAAGTTAAATTACAAACTTACAAAATAGAGCATTTAGCTTTTGGGCCTCTTTTTGTCCGATGCACTTTTTTACATTATTAACTTGGCTTAAAGTATTTCTAGTTTACCAGTAGAAGGGCAGGGGAAACTAAATACAAGTGAACACATACATTTTGCATACTAGGGTAAAACTGACTAGCTGGTACCCAGTAGTAGTTTTGGATATGAAACTTCAGGGAAGTAGTAACAGTAGCAGCAATTAATAACAATTTCAGCTTATTGACAACAGGATGTCACCCAATTTTTGGCAAAGATTCATTAAGTTAAAAAGGTCATAATCATTATCAGTTGCAATAATTTTCAATGTTGTATAATTTGAACTCTTGAGATAAGGACAGAGTGGTTAACCACCATTAACTTAATGTTTCCCAGCCAGGTGGTGACAAAAAGCAAGTCAAGGGAATCATGAAGTACTGAAGTTTTATTACAATCTAAAGCTCAGATGATCTTGCTCCCCCCGACACTTTAAGGTTAAGATTTCTCAATTAACCTCTTGAAATATACCAACAAATGAATTATATAGGTTCAATCACTAATCACTATTCCCATAAATACATTTTTATTTTTACTTTTGTAATAAGTCAAATTTAAGTCAGTACTCTTCATGGATTGAGAAATCCTGCATTAAGGAGTTAAGGACACGCAGCAAAAAGAATTAAAGCTTTGCATCTCAAGCAGGGCCAAGGAGGTGATCCTCCCCCTCTATGCTGCACTCGTCAGGCCGCAGCTGGAGTACTGTGTCCAGTTCTGGGTGCTGTACTTCAGTAGGGATGTGGACAGCATTGAGAGGGTCCAGAGGAAGGCCACCCGCATGATCTGGGAAAAGCAGGGCAGACCCCATGAAGAGAGGCTACGGGACCTTAACCTGTTCAGCCTTTGCAAGAGAAGGCTGAGAGGGGACCTGGTGGCCATCTATAGACTCATTGGGGGGGGGGACCAGCAGGGTTTGGGAGAGACCTTGTTCCCCCTAGTGTCCCCCGGGGTAACAAGGAATAATGGCCACAACTTGTTAGAGTAGGTTTAGATTAGACATCCGAAGGCACTACTTCACAGCCAGGGCAGCTAGGATCTGGAACCAACTTCCAAGGGAAGTGGTGATAGCTCCTACCTTGGGGGTCTTTAAGAGGAGGCTTGATGTCTACCTAGCTGGGGTCATTTGAGCCCAGTTCTCTCTCTTGCCCAGGGCAGAGGGTCAGATTTGATGATCTACAAGGTCCCTCCCGACCCTACTTCTATGAATCTATGAATAATTTCACATATTCCTACCTATGAAAATGGTCTCTATATTCTTTAGCAACTTCTTGAATAATGGACTTTAGCCTGTTAAGGAAAACAAAATAATATTTAAAAAAGAGCCCACAAAAAACAACCACTGGCAGTCAGCTCGGGATTTCCAAAGTTCAAACAACATTTAACCTGTTGTATAAATACAAATGCTATCTAGTCAGCAACAAAACAGTGAACTTCCCTTTGTCACTACAGCAACATGCACCTTCATCACAAACTGAACACTGTTGAGGCAACCCCTAACAACAAATCTTGCAAACTATTTTTAATTGGCCAATAACTAGTAAGTACATGGTAAGCCAAAAGGAAGTCCCAACACACGATACTGAAAATAAATAAATAAAGCAATAATAATTTTATTAATTCACCTATTTCAATAAAAATGTCAGGACTGTGTACAGGACTTTGTGCCCTCAATTATACTTACAAAATTCTTACCTAGCTAGAAGTGAGCTGCGAAAAGTTTTAAGTCAACATGTGATAGACAAAGACAGACACCTCTTACCAGGGATAACTGAACTAGTTCTCAATTTGCAACAGTCTTAGAAAAATTAAAATAGTTATATTTGTCCATACCCCAGGTGTATAAATTAACCCTTTTAAACCACCTGTGTACATACTTTTATAACTGGAATCATAATTAAAAACAAACAAACAAACAAAAAACACTTAGCCCAAGATTCCCAGCAAACAAAGTGAAAAAAACACTCATAATGCAGTTGGAAGTATTTTACATGATAACATTTCTGCAGCAATGTACTATTGTCCTTTACTCCCCAACCTCTCCTTTTTATTCTAGTTTAGTCTTTTATAGCACTTCCCATTAAAGCCTACATAATGAGTAATGTAAGGGATAGGGGACCACCCACTGAATAAAGGTCAGAGGGATAAGGACTTCTTAATCTAACAATCTCAGAAAAACACACACAGATCACTGGTCTTTCATTAACCTCTCACTTTTTTCTGAACAATTAAAAAAGCTTCAATAAGAATATAGATGTTCCTTCCAATAAAGAAGTGTAGAATTAAATCCAGCTTTATTTTTTACATTAAGTGCACAGTTTCTCCCCCTCTCTCCAGCACACAATGGCTCTCAGTAATACTGTACCTTGTATGTTCAACTGAGGAGTTTTTATCGTCAATAACTGCAATAGCCACAAGTTTTCCTAAAAAAAAGGAATAATGTTTACATTCATCATCATTGTGTAGGGCAAGAGAAGATCAAACAATACTGTGTTTTGATGTACATCTTCCAACTCTTAGATCACAGAGCTGGTTTTTTCCCCCCCTCGAGAACAAGCCCAAATTTGGGGGCACCAAGAAAAAAAAAATTGTTCAGCTTGCCAAAAGAAACTATGCTGACAGAAGGGACATTTTTTCTTTTATTCTATTGGCAACAAATTAAAACAGGGAATAAATTAGTGTGGCTATGTGAAAAAGTGGGGAAGTTATGGCTTAAGTTTCTTCCACTGTCTCTCTCTTTCTCTCCTCACACCACCACAAAAAGTTAGTATACATGGTATCACAATTTACCATCTATTTTAATCATTCAAATGATTACTGTCATAATTTATTTACCACTGTTTTGGTTTGATTTTTTTAATTAAAACTTGAGAGTATTATCTTTAAAACTTACATGAAGAAATGTAAGATTTTTATTTGAATTCTTGGCTGTGCCACCAGGTCAGAAAAAAATAGCTTCTTAGTTTGCAGTCCATTGTCAGAAGGGCTTCATTTTCAAGTGACCCTGTGCACAGATTTATTGAACAATCATGCAGAACGTAACTGAGACCAAATATTGGAACATAATGGTCTTGGTTTTTAGCTCATAGCTGATTTGTGGCACCTTGGGATGGTGTATATTACCCACTGTACTAGGTAAACTACCAGAAGTCCCCCAAGTTGCTTGCTGATTTGTTCTTCCCTTTGTTAGGAAAGGTAGATTTTTTTCCCACACCGTAACTGGGAAACTTGGCCAACAAATGTCAAGATGTGCTGCTTTACACCTTCCTGAACCTGTGGCTCTATTACCTCCCTACCAAATGTGGTTGCACTCAGTAGGCTGGGAGGAATCATAAGATACCAAAGGCTGATGAGGTCAGTATTTTCAGCAAATATTGCAGGAATACAAGGGTCTGGAAGTAGAAAATACAACTCTGCTATGCCCCTAATATGCACTTACAGACAATTTTCTATATAGTTGGATGAAGAACTAAAATGAGAGAGGCTTTGCCCTGATTCCCTTCAATACTTCCACCCAGAGGCATTTACTTTAGTCCCTTCAAGGCTCTAAAGTGTTATGTAATAAAGACAGATTAAAACATTCATACTTCTCTCAACTGTTTTCAATGTTTCCAGAGAAACAAGTCTCATTAAAAGGCCATATACTGAATGAATAAAGGCACTGGACATGACTTCTGGTATGGGTTTTTAAATGTATTGGTAAATTACAATATTTTGTCTCAAGTCCACACAAAATTAAGAAAATAAACACTGTTATAATAAAAAGACTGCTTATACTGATGACATACAGACATTTTCCTATAGCTGCATTGGAACTTCTACATATCAGAACCACAACTCCACCAATTTAGAAATCATGAAAACTTATTTTTTACATGTTCATGAAGGTGGAATAGGTCTTTGTTGTAGTGTATAAAGAGGCCGACTTTTTAAGGTCACTATTGACTGAGTGTATAAAATGCAAAAATACTGAAGTTTTCTTTGCAGGGAGGTAGGGGAGAGACTCATCAAGAAAGCTTCTTGGGGGAGGGAGAGTGGCAGGGGAAATAAGTCTCTTCCAGGCTTCTTACACTGGGCATCCACAGACTACTTGCTGTTGCAAATCTACCTCTTTAGAGCCAAACAAAACACATTCCATCTCATAAACTTACTTTTGTATCACGCAGATACAGAAAAGATTAAATATCTGCAACAAACTTTGCTTGCCAATTTTTTCTGACATGCTAATCCCTATCCATTCTGATTTGAAAGTGTCAAGTGTATACCCAGTAAATCTCATGCCTCTCAAAAATTTAACAACAATATTTGCATCCATCAAAACTCAGATCAAGGCTCACTAAATCCTGTCATAAAAACATACATTTTCACAAAACTCAAGGAATAAATTGTAACAGTAATTTCCAATCCAGAGAAGCTGCTCACTTTCCAGACCAGTTCATTGTAAGGGACTCTGTCTTCTGGAGCTGTAAGTAGAGGCTTCATCCAAAACCTACTGAAGTAAATACTGATATTCCCATCCTACTGAAGTAAATATTGATATTCCCATCCATTTCTATCAATTTCAGTCCAAATGTGGGAAGTTTGCTTACGATAAAGAGCAACAGATCCAAAATTTATTTCAGAAGTAAAAAAAGATAGGTAGTTTTACAATAAGAGTACTGAGACCCACACAGGTTTTTTCAACAAATAGGCAGAAGACACTAGACAGTAATGAGCCTAAACTCAGAAATTATTTTGGAGATTTAAATGTCTTTTTAGCAGTTTTAAATTGTGGCTAATGTTAGAATTCAACTAAATATTGTAAGTAGTTCAAAGATGAGAGCTTCTTACCTGTATCTCCAAGTTCATACAAAGTAAATCCATCTACATTAAGATACCCTTGAAATCTCTCTCTGTTTATCCAAGATGACAGATCACCATCTTCATACTCTACAAAAAAGTGTAGACAGTGAAGAAAAATGCTGAATATTAACAACAACAAAACAGTAAGAAAACTGCTAAATGTGAAAAAATGGTGTTAGGAGCAGACAGGCCATGTCTAAATTTATATCTTACCTGTTAATTCCAGAGATGTTGCTTAAAAATCCAAATAAAAATGAGTGTGGCAAATCAATCCATTCCTAAAATAGTCAGAATTAGCATGCCTGGTAGCATTTTCTTCAAAAAACTACAAATGAAGCATGAAAGGTAATGGGGTAGAGGGGACATATGAAGAGGAAAACAGGAGGGCGAGGCACCCTGCAGCAAATTGCTGGTGCTCCCACCCTTTGACTCACATCATGCTTGCCATTCCATCACTATGTTACTGATGTTCTAGCTTTGATCCCCCTTTATTTATTTTGGTCTTAATTCAAGAGCAATAAGCTTTCAGAGCTTATTTACCTGATCAATAAATAAAGTCTGCTCCTGGAAATTCCCAAACTTTTTTTTTGGCTTCTAATCCTGCCTACAAAAAATTCTTTTTGCTCCAACTAGCAGATTGGTGTCCCAGCAGTAATGCGCTCCAAGTGCAAAGCTCTAATTGGAAAGTCCAACTTCTACTGCTAAGAATTTATTGCTTTTGAGTATACTTGTTCAAATATTTGTCATGTGCTTAAATGAGCAGATATCTTGATATATTAAAAACAGTTCATTTTTGAGGTAACTAAGCATTCCTTGCTCATCCACAACATCCAAGAATCCCTTTAAAAGATGAAACAAAACCTTCCTTTTCTTTCAATTTAAAACACATCTTGAAAAGTTTAACAAAATATTCAATAGCTTAATCATAATTTGATCACAGCAAACCTGAGGAAGTTCATGGCCAAGGGACTAATAGGCATTTGTATAAAGCACGCTGCTGCCATTCTCAGTGTTGACACATATTTTGCCACTTATACAACTGCGTGTAATGCACCACAATGCGTGTCAGCTCGCATGTGGAGAAGACTTGATTAACTGAATCTGCTCCAATGCGCTGGATCTCTAGCGCATCACAGCTCAAAAATGCATGTGTATAAATGCCCTAAGTACCTAGCTGCTTCTGAGAATGAGCTGCTATCATTTTCAAGAGAGACTTTAAAAAAAAAAAGTTATGAACCCTGATGCCAGTTTAAGAACAACAGGTAAAGATTAGCCATTATGTTGTTATCCATTTTCTAAACCTCAAGAAGTGATAACCTAGGAAATCAAATATCGCTACCATCTCCAAGTCAATATCAATTTTAAACTTTGGGGGAGTAGGCAGTTTATAGGCTACGATACTCAACTGGGTGTTGAAGGCCTCTGCTTTAGTCCCAGCTGAGTCAGACTTGTTGCATGACTCTGGCTAACTCACTTTAGTATCTTCTAAATGTTTCTTCCCCACCATTTGTTTGTCACATCCACTTACATTGTAATCAAGTTGCAGAAGAGACAGGATTCACATTGTTCTCATTGGCTAGGGACAGAAGTTAGACATAAACCAGTTTACGTGATCAGAAACTGGTTTAAGCCTGTAACAAAACATAAGCTCAATACGTATAAACCAGTTTCAAAATAGCTGAAACTGGTTTAAGATAAACCTGATTGAATGTAGCATCAGACTTAACTGATTTAGGTCAAACTGGTTTATGAAACTTCTGTCCCAGACCCCTTCCTGGTTCAAGTTAAATCACAGTCCCCCAGCATCCCAGGATGCTCTGCAGCCCTGGGCTGGGCCGTGCTGTCCGCTGGAGCAGAGCAGGGTTGGCCCTGCCCCTCTGCTCTCTAGCCAGAGCAGCGAGGGCCAGCTGACAAGGGGGTGGGAAACCTGACTGGGGACCGTAGCTAGGTCTGCTGGAGGAGAAGGGGGCAGCCCCTGCCAGGCTACTCCCTGCTACATGCTGGAGTAGAAGGGGGTGGGAGCAAGAGAGAAACAGCCTGAGAGGGACTATCAGCAGACTTCATCCCCCCCCCACCTCTGGCACAGACAGAAGCAGACAAGCAGTTGATAAGGGGAGGGAAAAAGAGGTATAATTCTCCTCAGCTCCCCCAGGTCATGGGGGAGGGGAAGAGGCTGGGGAACTGGTTCCCTGCCTCTTGTGAGCACAGGGTCAAGCCCTGTAGGACCAGACTGAGAAGGAGGAGGTGTTGGCAAAGACCTGGCAATCATCACACGTGTGTGCTGGAGATGGAGCTAAGGGAACAGGAGAGGGTCGCAGACAGTTTATGCTAGTGTGACCAAAGAAAGTAGAGAACTGCATTTACATTATAAAGCAGAACCTGTACAAGGTGGGAGACTGGAATACCTAAGCAGAGACAAAAGACACAGAATGCATGAGAGTCCTGCCAAAGGTGCTATAAAGTGACAAGCGTAATGTCAGGGCACCCAAAGGCATGAAGGGGGTGCACGTGCACTTGTAGAAACCCAAGTTGATAAGAGGCCTATGGGATCTCCACTCCAGCACCTAAGACCACCTGCTGATTCCCCAAGGACTTCCTGAATACCTGGCTGTAAGGAGATGCTCTGCCCTCAGGATTATATTAAGACTTATGCAATACTTTCTCTTGTCTTTTTCGTTTATTAAATTCCATCTTAAGTTAGACGAAGTTGTGTGCATTCTCACTGTGTTTTACTGGGATGCATCTTAGCTTAGGCAAAGGCTTTTTGTTGTTCAGTCATGTGCTTGAGATTGCAAAGTGCTGTGTTCAATACACGCTCACTTCAGAGAAAGGACTATTCTTGTTCAAGTTATAAATTCAATGCCACTACCTTTTTCTCCACCCACCATCTCCTCAGTCTGGAAGGGGCTGCCATCCCTACCCTGTCAGGTCATGGAATGGTGGGGGTGGGGGGCATAAGCCTAGCAGGCACTGCTCCCCACCCAGGCAGACCCAGGCTGGGGTCCCATGTGAGCCAGGAAGGAGATTTAAACTCCCACCCTCCAGCATACTAGCTCCAGGCTGGGTCCTGGCCACCTTTGGCAGCAACTGGTAGGCTGGGAGGCATGCTCTAGTGCACCCCCTCCCCCGGCTTCTGGCCTGAGCCGCATTTCCTGAATCAAAAGTGAATGTCTGTTCACTTGCTTCTCAGCTTAATCTCTGAAGCTTAAACTAACCTGCAAAGACTTGAATACATTCAGCCTCGGGCTTTTTGACTGTCAGCACTTAACTATCTTCGCTGACATTTATGGGATAAATCACATTTTGCCTTTACATGCCTAGAACAGCCCTGGAACTGCAATTTTTGGCACTTTATGCACTTAGCTACATATTGCTCTTAATTTCTGTGCTGAAATTGTATTCTAGTTGCACAGGTACCTGCAAGGATCCAAATCACTCAAGAACATACTCAATAAATTATAGCCATGGAAAAACCACAATCAGGAGAAAAGGGAATTACAGAAAGAACCCTCACAGGTTAGTCCAATAGCCTAATGCAGGGGTTGGCAACATTTCTGGGGAAGTGCCAAAAACATCTGCAACTTCAACTTGCAAGATATTGGTGTACCAAGGGCAGACAGTGGAGGAGCTGCGATAAGTCTGCTCCTTGTTGAGGCAATATAGCCCCTTCCCTGCTGTCCACCCACAGGCTCACGCACCAAGCAAAATGCCTTTGTGCGCCACACTCTGGCACTCATGCCAGGGGTTACTTACCCCTGGCTTAGTGGCTAGGGCACTTGCACAGGGAGTGGGAAACTGGCTTATAGGCCCCCAACCAAGCAGGGTGGGGAGGGGTTGCTCCTTATCTCCCTCAGTGAGTAAGTTAATGAGCCAGATCATTGACAGCTGGCAAGAGCTGTTTCTTTTCTTGTGATTCTAGACCAGAGGCCAGCAATGTTTTCTGATGGTACGTCAGAATGACCCAGCTGATGTCTGAGACAGGCTGGCACTAGGATTCAGCAACTTCTCCCTACCCTCTTGTCTCAGCAAAGCCTCCCACTGCTGAAGCCCCCCTATTCTTGGCCAGATCCAATGGGCTATATGTTGCCAATCCCACAAGAGTAAATAATGCAGTAGAGCCTTAATTTTAATTAAATGGTATAAGAAGCAAGAGTTTTTATTTACAGATATCTGCAACCTATGAAATTGTTTTTAGAATAAACTATACTTCAGTCTAGTTGAGTTGAAAGGGCCTCTTTTTCAGGGATGTCTTGTTTTTCTATCTTATTTTATTATCCTGCAGGCTGGCACTGGGCGCACAGCATGCTGCCTGCAGAATGTGGACCAGACCCAGTGGCATGAAAGTCTAGTGAGCATGCTCCATAGAATAAGCGTTTCGTGTGAACATGTATCAAATACCTCTTGAGGAGACTCTAAAGTTGACTGGGCAATGAGCAGAAAATGTGCGACTGACAGGAACGAATGGATCCTGACTGGTTTTAGTACATGAGGTAATGATCGCCTTTAAAAAGGCAATCATCTCTCATGTGGAAGTAGACCACCAGGGACTGGTTAGGGCCTTGACCCAGCCTCAAGGTTGTGGACCTAGCAGACCCCAGAGAAATCAAGAGATTTCACCACTTCACTGAAGTCTTACTGTTGTGTAAGGGAACCTACTCCTTAATCCAACAGAAGGAGCTAGTTGATCCCCAAAATGTTAGTGTAGAAGTAAGTGCGAAAATGCACTTGGCCAGAGTGGTATTGAGCAACTATATCTGTCTGATGTACGTGCATGTGACATTAAAACTTCAGCATTTGGGTGGCAGTTGTATTATCAGTCACTTAGCAAGTAAGTGGGCATTGCAACACGCTAGGGTTGCTAGGCAACCACCACCATGCCCTGCCACTGGGCCTCTCTGAAGGAGTAGCTTGCTCAGAAATGTTACTTGTGGTTGGAAATTTAGTAATGTTCCTCTGGTCCTTTAATTGTTTAAGTTTCCATAACCACTACACTGCCTACAGCTGACTGTGGTTGCTGTTCACTTCTGGTAACTTTTGGTGTTGACTTTATCTTGTCTTTGTCCATCAGTATGAAATACCCTCACAGTAAGCCTGCTGGATGGCAAGTTTTGGTCAGCATTCATTCACCAAGCCAGGAGTTACCTGGTCCAGCTTCAGCTTAACCCCAAAGCACACCTTTCATAAAAGGGAAAGGTTTTATTGATTGGAGCCCACCTATTATAAATTTAATCTGTTATGTAGAGATGCTAATAAACACATTTGGCTTAATTAGCATAGTCATTGGGTGCATCATTTCCCCCACCAAAGGGGTCAGTCCAGGGCACCAGCCTGTACCCTGGATCTCGTGCCGTATACAGAGCATGTGGCCTGTCCCGCCTGTATGCCCCACATCAGTCCCAGGGACCACATGAACAGCAAACCACAGGGACAACATGTGCTGCCTATGGCATGTGGGGCTGGACCAGCTGCATGCAATACATGGGGAACAGTACAGGACACATGGTCCACACAGCACCCAACAGACATGGAGATACCCCTGAATGCTGGTCAGCAGGGCACTGCATGCAGCAAGTACCCCATACCAGCCCTGTGCCACGTGCAGCATGCATGACCAAGTTGATCCCCACGGGCACCACATGTTGGCCTTGGGGCTTGTGCTGCATGTGGTGCAGTCTAGGCTCTGATGCTGAACACAGCACAGGAGATCCAGGCATGGACTGCATGCAGCATCACAGACCGACCCCAAAGCTGCTTGCTGCATGCATAGAGCCAGGTCTAGCCCTCACATGCAAGCAGTGCAAGGACCCTGTTCAGCAATCCACAGACTGGATCACATGGGTCCACAGGCTGGATCTGGCCTGTGGGCCATGTTTGACACCTCTGATTTAATAGTGAAGGGAACACACATTCCCTAGCATTTCTCATTTTTAGGTACTTTGACAATAGCCATTGAATATAACCACCCCCAAGAATACTGCTTCTAAAGTAATCCAGTTATCCTATGAATAATATTCCATCTAAAAGCAAGTTTACCACATGAAAGTAAAGATACTATAATTGGTTAAAGATGTGCATTGCCTAAGTAGTATTTGCAGCCACACAATTATGCATTGTTTTCTGGCACTCTCTCTACACTAACAGAAAGATGCATCATCCTCCTAAAGTGTTACATTTGATTTCTATTTCTGGCAGCAAGCAACAGTTACTATACTTGAAAGGTTTCAGTTTCGATTTCCATTTACAGAACATCTTGCTGGGGAAATCCCAAGAGCATACTATAAAACAGTTTACCTGAGTAAACTGCTTCATTTTGCATCTAAGCATAAGAAACGCTTCCACAGAGCCCTTTTATGCATTAGACTCATGCCTCCATTCAGTCAACTACTAATGCTGGGGTAAGTGCATCTTTGAATTTGTTCTCTATCAGTATTTCAATATTAGACTTTTTTTCTTTTTTTACTTATGATTAAAGTGTAGTAGAAAGTGTGATAGTTTTGAGATTAAGTGACAAACTGTAAAATTGAAATTTTAAGATTTTATTTCAAGTGGCAAATTCAATGTTTTTAGTTCATATAGAATGTATCTTAGTTTAGTTTTGACAAAACTTCAGCACCAGTACGAAAAATGTCAAATTGTGTGCATATGTACCCATATATATGCTTTTATATTTTTAAATATAAACTAATGGTGTGCCTTGGATGCAAGCTGGTGTCATGGAATTAACTATAGCAGTTGGTTGATTTCCTGTACCATGTGGTGGTGATATGGGTATTGTGAACTTTCATAGCAGTGTCTAAGAAATACAATTTGCTTGGTGGAATATTACCGAGTCAGTTTAACGGAAGGGTAGAAGTGTTAAAGTCCTGGTGGAATTTCTTGATAGGGATGCCCAATCATAGCCTATTTTTTGTTTGTTTTTAAGGCTAATTTTTCAACTGAAATACGGAGAAAAAATCATCGTAACTACTACATACAAACCATCGCATCAAATAATGGAAATCCAGGTCAAGAGTGAAGACCAAAAATTAATAGAAACCTTAAAGACAATTCACTTCAGCCTTCCTTGTGGCGTCCAACAAAGGGAAACTGTAGTCATGGACAGAAAAGTGGTATCTTATATGTTCTTTATTAACAGAAAGATGAAGGGAACTATACAGCTATATGCCAACTTAACCAAGAATGTTTTCCTACAAATACACAGACATGCTACACACTTACGCCACTGAAACTAAGACTGAAACTTTTTTTTTTTTTTAAACCAACAACTTGGTTGTGAAATGATCAAAAACGAGAATGATATTTTGCAAAGTGCCATGAAAAAAGTGGAATGAAAATGTAGGACATCTAATTCTGTTAAATAACTTGAAAGTTTCTAAAATATGAGTATGAGTTATTAAAAAGTTAACCAAAATCACCTTTACAGATGTGACATTTTACTTTTTTTTTTTTTTTTTTTAAATAAAGAGAGATAAATTGCACATCTCCAACATAACTATTTGAGATTTAGAGACTCCCTATACCTACAGATGAACAGCAGTGCCATGGGAACACACATGACCACTCCTCGATCATATGCCAATATATTTATTTATGACAGAGCTCAAAGTCTGCTTCCAGGAAACAAGCCAACTGCTAGTTACCTCCATGCTACCAGCTTTCATTCTAAGCACATCGCTAGTTCCATCATCTACTGCCAATCTGTGTTACAACTGTGTGTGCTCTGATTCCACCAACCAGAATTCACACCTTAAGTATCAGAAGCAGGGATTCCTACACTTAAAATATAAACCCAGCACCATAGCTACTCAAATTAGAGCCCGACTCAGACCCTACTAACCAGCTATGATACCAACCTCAAGACATGGGCAATAGAATCCCTCAGAATCCTTCATCAACAGACCACATCCTCATTGGAACTAGTAACACTGATTTTAAAACACTTGAGGTTCATTCACTTGCTTGCCAACCAGTTTCATATATACCATGAACTACTTACAGAGACCCTCTGTTCTGCTGTCTATATTGCAAAGCGGCAAGTCCATTTGTAGCATCTGACAAAGTACCTCATGAAAGCTTATGCTTCTCTGAATGAATGTTCTTTTTACTCTGTTTACAGAATTATTTTGGTCCAGTAGAAAATAAAGAATAAAAAAAATTAACTGATGCATTTAACTGAAGTTTAGTTTATTCATATTCCTTCTCAAACTCTGCAAAAAGAGAATTTATCCATTATATACTGGCAATCTTTTGAGGTTTCTCTCTCACACAGGCCTCAACTTCCCTATAAAGACCTTGAATTGTCACCGGTAGGTAAAGGATGAACACTTGTACTTACCATCATATACAAAATAACTTCCATCTTTGAAGACCACAACAGCAGGCAGTTCAGGCAGTGTCACATACTGAAAAAGTGAAGTATTCTTTAAGTTCTCATGAATGATTAAGAATAATTGTGCATTTTTCCACCTGAGGCCAACTTTAACTAAGCATTAAGACCCATATCGTTTCCAACAAGTTAGACAAAACAAATGTAGAAGATCAAACATCTACTCTTCCTAACAGCTTTTAACAATTTTTGTCCTTTTCTGTTCAAAAGGACTGAAGTTTGATCACAAGGTCAAGTATGCAGCAGAAAAAAACAGAAAAGAAAATTAACATTAATCCTCAGTATATTTATATTGTTAAAATACGTGGAATGACAGGGAAGGGGAGAGGTTAAAGGCTAAGATACTTAAAATTTGGGTCTAAAATTTAGACTTTTAAATATACAGCTAAATTTTCAAAAGCATCATGCTTCAATGACTCCAATTGATATGACGAAAACTGATATTTTTTATTATTTCTGGAATAAAGAAATGTAAGTCACATGTGCATAAATTTAAGTTTGAGGTATTTAAGAAAAAGCACTTTCAAAAGCCATAGTCCAAGTCACTTAGGCCCCTGGCAGACACTACAATTATCATGCGATTAACACATTAAGTATGCAATAAACTGTAACTTGCCACAGCTTCAACCAGTTTATGGCACCATAAAATTGCAAATTAGTTATAACATAAATCATTTTTGTGGCTGGTTTATACTGTACTTTCATTTGAATGTGCAGCATGTTAAGCCTCATGGCTGCAGAGCTCGGTTTTTAGAAGTCCTGGGCTGCCGTCTACAGAGATCCAAGGGGCCAGCATGCTTGTTTTTAGTGCTACCCTGCATGCAAAGCTGCAGAGCATGCGTTTTAAAATACCCTAGAATTCTTAAAAAAAAAAAAAAAAAAAGCTTGCTCTGCAGCCACATATGGGCTTCACAGTATGGCTTTAAATAGTCTCAGCATGTGATGGGATCTGACAAAAATACATGGCAGGACACGTGATCATTGGGATCGGTGATAAAATTAGTTGGATCCCAATCATGTAACTAAATTAACATCTACTAGCAACCTTAAGAGTTGTTACAAGACAATGGAATAACCAATAACCCAACAAAGTCTCTAGCCTCTAGCACACACCTACTTTACCTAAAGAAAAAAAAATGCACTACCTGGTTGTTTTGCCTAGCATTTTTTCTTTACAATCAATTTTATTATAACTCAGTTCTCTTATAACTCAAAACCCTAGTATACCTGAATATTCACCCTTCTTCATTTCCCACTCAGAATTATAGGGACCATAATAACCATAATTATAGGGAGGAAATCAACCACAGTCAAAGCTTTGTTATCTGGCATAAGTTGAGTAAGAGGGGTGCCGGTTATCTAAAAATTCTGGTTATCTGAGAGTTATACCTATCAAGGAAGACAGGAGCGCAGTGCGGCCACCCCTGCTGGGAAGAGCCCAGTGCTGCCCCAGGCTCCAGCCTGCAGAGGCAGCTCACCCTGCACCATGCAGCTCCCTTTCCCCTCCCCTGCAGATGTTCCTGCTGGGGGAGGGGAGGGGGGGAAAGGGGGCGTGTGTGCCCTGCTTTTTTTTCCTCCATGCTGCATAAACTCAGCAAAGATTCTTGTTGCTAAAGAGAGGATTTATATTGGGGGATATTGGAAATTCTGGTTAATAATAGAGTATTCCAGTTAGTAGAATGCTGGTTAACAGAGCTTTTACTGTACCGAGTTACAGTTCTTTCTTCAAGCAGTATCAGAATAAATGTAGGTAACTGCCAAGTAGTACCTTCATTAAGCTGCATAAGATTGTAACACAAACTCTTCTGAATTGGTCTGGTCTAGCTACCATGTGAAGAGCACAGTATTTAACAACTGGCACTGGATTATACCTCAGTATTTTTCTCCTCTCAGAAACTGGTTCATTTCTGCACTCTGGAGCAGAATGCTTTGATGTTAAGGCGAATCTCAGCCAATTGGCCAGAAGTGAAAGTACACAAAATAATCTACCTGGGAACTCTTAAGATTAAACAACATGATATGGATCCTTACTTATGAGTTCAGCTCCTTAAAAAGATTGAGCTTCAGAAAAAGTCAGCGTCTGGATCCAAAGTCATGGTCAGTGCAATAGCTGGACTTGCTTACAGTATCTGTTTCATCCATTATTTGTAGGGCCATTTTCACTACCAACTAGCCTTTCTTAATGTCCTTTAGGTCCTTCCTTTTTCTGAGAGAGCTTTTTGACAAACAGCACTGTTTTGTCCCTTATTAGAAATTCACAATCAGTTAGGAGATCCTGACAGTTAATCACTCACTTTAAAATGATACTGAAGAGCAGGACCATCACCAAAATAGGGCGAACAAAGCCTTCTGCATTCCTGAAATTATTTTTGACCAAATGCTTTTTTCTTGCACAGTTAAATCTAATAGAGAGCTGGGCTATTGCACTGACCAAGACTTTGGATCCAGACACTGACTTTTTCTGAAGCTCAGAATCTTTTTAAGGAGCTGAGCTCGTAAGTAAGAATCCATACGTGGGTACAACTACAGAGAGACCTAAATATACGTAAAGAATAGTGCCTTTGGGGCTCCTTTTTAGCAACCAGTTCCTGGACTAAAGTTGTGTGTAAGGTCATTCTTCCCATCTTTTCCAGGGAATTCTAACCCCACTTCACCTAACTAGGTGTGGAGAAAGTAGGGATGGAAAAAATCTTATCTACAAGTGATAGATTCTTACATAAAGAATCAGTGCATTGATAATTCTCAGCATATTTTTACTTTCTTAAATTTGTCAAAAATCAATAGCCGCTAGTGCAGATTAAGCAAACAATAATCTAAAAATAAAAATCAATAAGTCACTTAGTAAAATAAATTTGGCATAAAAAGACATTAAAATGGTTATGTTTAGAGGAGCCGGAGAATAAATTCAGGCTCGGTTCAATTTTAGATCTTCAAATTAGCTGTGATAAGTTAGAAGAGCATGAGAAGAGAATTAAAAGAGGCTCCTGAAACACTCTCTATTTTATTTAGGTTTCCTACTGCACCCCATAAATCTTCTCTGACAGAGACATTTGCCCATGACAAGGGAATAATGAAAGAAAACAATTGAATTCTTCCATGAATTTTATGTATGATAA